TGCTGGAAGTCCTAGCTAGAGCAATAAGGCAAGAAAAAGAAATAAAGGGCATCCAAATTGGTAATGAAGAAGTTAAACTGTCCCTATTTGCGGATATGATACTATACATAGAAATCCCTAAAGACTCCATGAGAAATCTACTGGAACTAATAGAAAGATTTAGCAGAGTAGCAGGATACAACATAAACATACAAAAATCAGTTGGATTCCTATACACCAATAAAGAGAACGAGAAAAAGGAAATCAGTAAAACAATACCATTTATAACAGCCCCTAAAAAAATAAAATACTTAGGAATAAATCTAACCAGGGGTGTAAAAGACCTGTACAAAGAAAACTACAAAACACTACTGCAAGAAACCAAAACAGATCTACATAAATGGAAAAACATACCATGCTCACGGATAGGTAGACTTAACATTGTGAAAATGTCAATTCCACCCAAAGAAATTTACAAATACAATGCAATCCCAATCCAAACACCAACAACATTCTTCAAACAGATGGAAAAACTAACCATTAACTTTATATGGAAAGGGAAGAAGCCCCAGATAAGGAAAGCACTATTGAAGAAGAAGAATAAAGGAGGACTTGCACTACCTGACCTCAGAACCTACTATACAGCTACAGTAGTCAAAACAGCCTGGTACGGGTACAATGACAGATACATTGACCAATGGAACAGAACTGAGAACCCAGATGTAAATCCATCCACCTACGGTCACCTGATCTTTGACAAGGGCCCAAAGTCCATCAAATGGGGAAAAGACATTCTTTTCAACAAATGGTGCTAGCAAAACTGGATGTCCAGCTGCAGAAAAATGAAACAGGACCCAAACCTTACACGTTATACAAAAACTAATTCAAAATGGATCAAAGACCTAAATATAAAACCAAAAACTATAAAGTTCATAGAAGAAAAAACAGGATCAATGTTAGAGGCCTTAATGCATGGCATTAACAGGATACAAACCATAACCAACAACACACAAACTCTAGAAGATAAGCTAGATAGATAACTGGGATCGTCTAAAAATTAAACACTTACGCTCATCAAAAGACTTCATTAAAAGTGTAAAAAGAGAACCTACAGACTGGGAAAAAATTTTTGGACATTCCAAGTCAGACAAAGGTCTAATCCCTAAAATCTACAAGAAAATCTAACACCTCTACAACAAAAAGACAAATAATCCAATTAAAAAATGGGCAAAGGAAATGAACAGACACTTCACCAAAGAAGACATTCAAGCAGTCAACAGACACATGAGGAAATGCTTGAGATCACTAGCCATTAGAGAAATGTAAATCAAAACCACAATGAGATACCATCTCACCCTGGCACTACTGGCACATATCAAAAAAACTGGAAATAAATGTTGGAGAGGCTGTGAGATCAGAACTCTTATGCACTGCTGGTGGGAATGCAAAATGACACAACCATTTTGGAAAATGATATGGCTCTTCCTTAGAAAGCTAGAAATAGAAATACCATATGATCCAGTAATCCCACTCCTAGGAATATATCCTAGAGAAATAAGAGCCATCACACGAATAGACATATGCACACCCATGTTCATAGCAGCATTGTTCACAATAGCAAAACGATGGAAATAACCTAGATGCCCATCAAAAGATGAATGGATAAACAACCTATGGTACATACACACGCAATGGAGTATTATGCAATGATAAAGAATGATGATGAATCTGTGAATCATCTCATAACATGGATGAAACTGGAGGACATTATGCGGAGTGAAATAAGTCAATCACAAAAGGACATACATTGTATGAGACCACTACTGTAAAAAGTCATGAAAAGGTTTACACACAAAAAGAAACAACCTTTGATGGTTATGAGGGAGGGGAGGGGTGAGGATGGAAAAACACTAAATAGACAATAGATAAGTGGTAACTGTGGTGAAGGGTAAGACAGTACACAATACTGGGGAAACCAGCACAACTTGTACAAGGCAAGGTCATGGAAGCTCCATAGACACATCCAAACTCCCTGAGGGACCGAACTGCTGGGCTGAGGGCTGCGGGGACCATGGTCTCGGGGAACATCTAGCACAACTGGCATAACACAGTTTATAAAGAAAACGTTCCACATTCTATCTTGGTGAGTAGCATCTGGGGTCTTAAAAGCCTATGAGCAGCCACCTAAGATACTCCACTGGTCTTGCCCTTCAGGAGCAATGGCGAATGAAGAAACCAAGGTACAAGGGAAAGATTAGTCTAAAGGACTAATGGACCACAACTACCACAGCCTCCACCAGATGGAGTCCAGTACAACTAGATGGTGCCTGGCTACTACCACTGATTGCTCTGACAGGGACCACAACAGAGGGTCCCAGATAGAGCTGGAGAAGAATGTAGAACAAAATTCTAACTCACAAAAAAAGACCAGACTTACTGGCCTGACAGAGACTGGAGAAACTCCAAGAGTATGGCCCCCGGACACCCTTTTAGCTCAGTAATGATGTCACTACTAAGGTTCACCCTTCAGCCAAAGATTAGACACGCCCATAAAACAAAACGTGACTAATGGGGTACACCAGCCCAGGGACAAGGACTAGAAGGCAGGAGGGGACAGGAAAGCTGGTAATAGGGAACCCAAGGTCAAGAAGGGAGTGTTGACATGTCGTGGGTTTGTTAACCAATATCATAAAACAATATGTGTACTAACTGTTTAATGAGAAACTATTCTGTAAACCTTCATCTAAAGTACAATTAAAAAAAGAAAAAAGAAAAGGTTATCACCAACATGCTTTCTTCAGAGACAGGTAAGTAAATGACACACTTTGAAAAGTGATTTGCCCACTTTTGCTCTATTTGGTGCTTAAATAGGACAACTTTATCTAGAAAACTCACAGAAATTTTTCTCCCAATGATGCTGAAAAAATGAAGTGTTATTATATTTTGTTTCATATTACAAAGTAAAAGATAAACTAATCTACGTGTAACCTAAATGTGATTTTCATAGTAATGTGATCATCAAAGTAACATTGCCTTGTTTTACTTTTTGAAGACAAATACCCTTGATCTAGCCACAGCGATGTACAGTCAAGGCTCTGTATGCATTACAAGGTATGTACATGAAAGGCTGAAAGTTTAAAAGGCAGCTGAAGAAAAAAAAATACATGCACAGATGTACCATTGTTCTGTTGCTACAGGACTGGAACATAACTTTTTTTGCATGCTTTGTAGATAACTTATGGATTAAAAAATGGGAAAAAATGGTTTTAACGGATAGTTGTTCAACTGCCATTGAATCTCACTGAAAATTAAAGGAACTAACTCCAACTGGTCACCCAGTCATTCAACCTCCTCACTTGGTTAATGCCGGAGCCATAATCAGCCTGGGGAGGAAGAAAATATTTAAGATAGTTCAATAGAACCTAGTTTGCAGAATGCAAAGGTCATTTCTTAACTTTTCCTAACTTAAGTAAAATGCTGACTTTTCTTTCTTCCAAATTAAAAATGCAACCAAATTATGTCCATCATTTTTCTGAAAGGAAAAAACTCCACATATTCTGTGATAATTACCCTTTTTACTGCATACTTACTGGATTGTTCTTGGGGCAGAAAGGAGCATGCTCTTGCCCTCTCTTTTCTGCCAGTTGATTTAAGTACTCTGCCATTCTTTCTTTTTGTTTTCTTTTCATCCAGATGCGAATCTCTCTTCTCTCCTTCTCAGTTCTTTGTGGACGTCTGCCAGAAGTATGCTGAATCCTGAGAAATTTAACAGATAGGGTATCACTTGCTTTACTGTAAGTATCATAACAAAATACTGTTTATTTTGGAAGATGTTGGCCCATCTTGAAAAGTAGTATACACTTAAGGTCTCTAGAAAACTCACTCTAACCTGTCACTCTGAAATTCACTGAAAATGATCTCAGAAAGGTCACCAAGGGCCTCTTCAGTCTTCATCCTACTGTGCTCTGTAACATTTGACACAACTGACTTCCCCTTCTGCTTTAAACTTTCTCTTATGTGGGTCTTTTCCTAACTCTAAAAACACTACTCAGCTTCCTACACTTCTGGATCTACTCCTGTGTTCATGTCCCCACGACACTTGCCATGGGCTGGCTAATGATTGAGCATGGCAGTGATACGACGGCAGGCCCATTTCTTGCAAGACACAAGATTCCTCTATGGGTGACTTTGGCTTGAGGTCTCACTACTGACCTGGCTGAAACTTTCTTAGAACTGTATTGTAATCTGAGAGTCTTTCTATACCATCCTCCTCCCTCCTCTCTCACCTTCATAGGGGTCTGTGCGGAATAGGGTTAACACAGCAGGCCTGAGACTGCTATTCTTACAAGGGCCCTCTTACAGTGCTGGCCCTTGGCTGGCATCTGGGAACTTGGATTTCAGAAAGACTCTCACTATTCCCAAAACTGAGTAGAGTCGCTCACTGCACCTAAATCGTTTGCACAAACAGTATGGTTTATGCGGAACACCTGCTTTCCTTCTGGGAGTCTGGAATCCAGGTACATGGTAGACAGAGGGGAGCCTACATGTACAGCCCCCAAGAAAAACCTTGGGCTGAGTCTCAAATGAGCTTCCCTGGTAGTCAATATTTCATGTGTGTTGTCACAAGTGTGTCCTGTATGGCCCCACTGGAGAAGATTCTTGTTATCTCTAGTTCCCCCCAGACTTCACCCCATGTGTCTTTTCTCTTTGATGCTTTTCCTTTGACCCCTTTTGCTGTAATAAATCATACGCATGAATAATAAACTTTTATAAGAAAATGTTCTACATCCCACTTTGGTGAGTGGCATCTGGGGTCTTAAAAGCTAGCAAGTGGCCATCTAAGATGCATCAATTGGTCCCAACCCACCTGGAGTAAAGGAGAATGGAGAACACCAAAGACACAAGGAAAGTATTAGCCCAAGAGACAGAAAGGGCTACAAAAACCAGAGATTTCATCAGCCTGAGACCAGCAGAACTAGATAGTGCCCAGCTACCACCAATGACCGCCCCGACAGAGAACACAACAGAGAGTCCCTGACGGAGCAGAAGAAAAGTGGGGTGCAGAACACAAATTCTAGTAAAAAGACCAGACTTAATGGTTTGATCGAGACTGGAGGGACCCTGGAAGACATGGCCCCTGGGCTCTCTGTAAGCCCAAAACTAAAACCAGTCCCGAGGCCAACTCTTCAGACAAAGATTAGGCTGGACTATGGGATATAAAATGATAAGAGTGTGCTTCTTAGCTCAAGTAAATACACGAGACTAAACGGGCAGCTCCTGTCCAGAGGCGAGATGAGAAAGCAGAGAAGGTCAGGAGCTGGTTGAATGGACACGGGAAATCCGGAGTGGAAAGGAAGAGTGTGCTGTCACAGCACAGGGAAAGCAAGTAGGGTCACAAAACAATGTATGTATAAACTTTTGTATGAGAGACTAACTTGAATTGTAAACTTTCACTTAAAGCATAACAATTAAAAAAAAGGGAAAAAATAAAAAATAAACCATAACCACAAGTATGACTATATGCTGAGTTCTCCTGTGAGTTTTCCTAGCAAAACACCAAGCCTGGGGGTGATCATGGAGATGCCCGACACTGGGTGAGATCCACACTGGCATTACAGTCTGACAGCTGTCCTCAACTCCTCTGGCTCCCTCCCCTTTTTTCCTCACATGCATTTATTCAAATAAATCTCTTGTCCTTCTAAATTCCATCTCGGGGCCTGCTTCTTGGAGGACCTAAAACTAATGCACCAATGAACACTTCCAACTGAATGTTCTGCTGGCACCTTGCATATCTAACACTGCATTCTCTATCTTGGTAAAGAAATCACCATCAACTCAGTCATCCAAGTAGAAAAGTCATCATTCTCACCTCCTCTTGACGGCCTCCCGTGTTTACTCAGTTCTGTTGTCCTGCACTCTCCAATCTGAGCCACCTTACCTCTAGACTACTGAAATAAGTCCTCTGATTGGCTCTCATTTTTCATCTTTAAGCTCTTTGCTGACCCCCCTTTGCTGACTCCCCCCACAGAGTAAAAACAATATTTTGTTTTTATTCCAATTCTTGATATTTAGAATACTGATAAAATGTTCAAAAAATGATCATAAACTTAAAAAAAAAAAAAAAAAAGACCAATTCCTATATACGTGATTGAAGCTAACTAAATGTGTTTTACAAGGGAGTTTGGGTCTATGTAGTCTTGACAATGAAGTCATAATGTTGTTGTTGTTAGGTGCTGTCGAGTCAGCTCTGACTCATAGCAACCCTATGTACAACAGAATGAAACACTGCCCTGTCCTGCGCCATCCTCACAATCGTTGCTATGTTTGAGCCCATTGTTGCAGCCACTTTGTCAATCCATCTCGTTGTAGGTATTCCTCTTTTTCGCTGACCTTATACTTTACCAAGCCTGATGTCCTTCTCCAGGGACTGGTCTCTCCTGATAACATGTCCAAAATACGTGAGACAAAGTCTTGCCATCCTCGCTTCTAAGGAGCATTCTAGCTATACTTCCTCCAAGACAGACTTGCTCATTCTTCTGTTAGTTCATGGTATACTCAATATTCATAATAGAGTAGATAATTCCATTAAATAGAAATTGCCTTTTTTGTATATTTTTGAGGTAACAGCCTTGTAAGTTTAATTATAATACATTTCACTGAGATGATAAGTTGAATTGAACTAGGATATAAAGAAACATAGCTGGCTATTATAGTGCTGACTCTTTGATATATGTTTGCCAAGCGGGGCATGCATTTCAGGGAAGCATTAGGAGCAGAATCAGCCTTCATTCTATCAGGAACCAACTCTTGGCCCAGGAAAGGTTGCAAGGAAAAACATTTCAACCTAATGTTCCAAGAAAAGGCTATTTAAAATTTATACTAAGCGTTAATATTTAGAGTACTTAAATCATTAATTACTTCTAAGAAGAAATAGGATTAAATTTATGTTGTAGTCAGACCGATGAGGCCTTAGGAAAACTCTCAAGATACAGACATGCTGGTTAGGTAACGAAACCAGTTATATACTGTAGGGGGAGGGGGGAGTGAAACACAAATATCACAAATGTATTTATGAAGAAAAAATGTCTTCTAAGCTTAGAATTTCATAAAACTTACATTAGAATGTGGCCAATTTTGAACATTCTTAAACCATAAACACTTTAAATGGGTTAAAAGCTCATTATTCCCCTAAGATACCCTTCTGACCTGAACTGAAACCATTCCCAGAGACCACCTCCCAGCCAAACACAAGCACTTAAGATAAACAGTAACACCTGAGGGGAACAAACTCCTTATAATAACCAATTATACAAGATCAAAAGGATATTAACTGCCCAAAAGCAAAGATAAAAAGGCAGGAAGGGGTAGAAAATCAGAACAAAAGAAAATGAGGAAACCAGGGCAGAAATGGGGAGAGTGCTGACGCACTGCGGGGAATGGAACCAAGGTCATGAAACACTTCATGTACAAACTATTAAATGAGAAACTAATTTGCTCTGTAAACTTTCACCTAAAGCACAAAAGAAAACAAAAAAAAAAGCTCATTATTCAGTGATTACCTGGAGATAGTCTTAGCTTGTTGCTCTGTTAAGCCAAGCTCTTCACTGGAAACTCCATCTTTTGTTATAAGGTCATCAATAATGTCTGCAATATCAGTCAATCCAGTCATCTGGAGTGGATCTACTGAAACACTTCATTGGCAAATGCAATTTGAGAAATATTAGTGAGTATCTACAACTTAACTACATTAAGCAAATATGCACACGTAAAACTATATCCTCCAGGAGCATAAATGAACCTAATGAGATAAACATATCTACTGTTTCCTCTATTTCTGTAATTTTAATACCTTTCAGGGGAAAGCCTAATAATAATTGATGATGGTAGGTACTCTAAACAAAACAAACATAAGGCCAAGGAGAAAACCTCTACAGGTTCAGCCTGCTCAAATTTAAAATATATTTAGTAACAACCAATGTAACAAAAGTAGTCTATTGTGTTCTAACTACCATGGTAAAACAGTAAGAGATATAACAGAACAAAATTCAGTTTTTTAGAGCACGCCATTCCCAATGGGAATTTATTATATTCTTTAATCACTATAAGATGTGTAATGTAGAATTTCACATACATACAAATTTCCAGCACACATAATTTATGCTCAGCGAATTAAAAACCTCAGGATATTTACCTCTCAAATAACTCATCACTGTTATTCATACCTTAAAAAAGAAAAAAATTATTAATAAGAATTACAGGGCAGTTATTTTTTTCTTTCAATTACCAACCCTATTTAGATATTATATAAGCAGAAACTGAAATATTTTTAGCTTTCTGGGCCTGCCTTTGTCCCCAACCTGCCTTCCCTACTCTTGATATTACACTGAAAGTCTCCAAAGTCCTTACAACTCAGTCTTCATTCTTGACTTTCTGGTGTCACATGGAACTGTTAGCCACTCACTTCTTGCAAATCTCTTCTCCAGACTCTGCTCACCTGTTCTGCTCAGAAGGAAAGGTCCCCTTGCTCTTTAATGGGTGACATTTAACAAGGCTGGTCCTTGGCTTTTTTCCCTTCTTCATTTATTCTCACAGTGAACAGATGCACTCTCTTAGCCTTAACTACAGAATTAAATGAAAGGCTCTTAGATGTGTTTTCAAGCCTAACCCTCTCCTCCATGCTCCACTCCCATGTTTAAAACTACGCTGCATATGGTCAATCATATATCCTAGCATCACCCTAAACTATTATATTTGGACTCAAAAGTGCTTTAGAGTTTGACATCAGACCTAGTCGTATGCCTATCGCTGACAACACTAAACAGCATTCATTTTCTCCTCCTCCTTTTTTATCCACTTAGTTTCTGAGTGAAGTCAGTTACTTATTCAGAATGTCTCTCGTATCCATCTGTTCCTCTCCTCCTTTCCCACGACACTGCCCAGGCTCTCATTATTTCACAGCTGAGAATAACTTAATAGCTTACTAACTGGTCTGTGCTTACTGTCTATTGTTTTTGTTGATGCCCTTGTGTGTCATGGAGTCATTTCCGACTCACAGTGACCCTATAGGGTTTCCTAGGCTGTGATCTTTAGGGGAGCAGAATGCCAGGTGTTTTCTCCCATTGAGCAGTTGGTGGGTTCAAACCACTGACCTTTTGGTTAGTAGCTGAGTGCTTAACAGTTGTGCCACCAGGGCTCCTTGCTTCCAGTCTAGTCTTCCTCAAAAATCTTCTCATTTTAACTCCTCTGCTCAAAATTCTCCAGTGATTCCCAAGAATAAAATGATCTAAATGTCTCATATGGAATTACACCCTTCTACAACCTAGCCCATGAGTCCTGTTTAACCTCATCTGCCAATCCTCCCCACTTAGGGAAGGAAGGAAGAGAAAGCTACCAATGACCAAGAACCTACAGGAATCAAATAGATTCTCAGCTAGATGCTTTACATATCACGCTCCATATTCACGACAGCTCTGTGAAGTGAAATTATCCCCACATGTTGACAACTAAAATACAGATGGAATCTAGGAAGAACTTAGAGAAAAAAATTACAAGATTTAAAACCAGCTTCTTAATAGCTTTTCTTTTATACGCCCCGTTTAAATAACAGCAGTGCCAATTAAAAATAGCATTTTTTAAACTGATTATATGACTTTAGTAATAATAATAAAACACATTGTAAACACTGAGTAAAATCATTATTGACCATCAATATCTGAGGGCAAAATACATATATATATATTTCCAAGCCACTGTCAGTGGCTCAACTGTTTTATAACTATTATACACATGACTAAATGTATTCACTAGGACTAAAGGATAATATTTTATATGGCAGCTTCAAATGAAATAGAACTAAAAGTGGCACTAAACCTTTTTAAGCCTTCGTATCCTCAACTATAAAATGGGGACTATAATAGTATCTAGCTCACAGGCCAGGGCTTAAACAAGGGTTGATGGATGTAAAATAACACAATGCCTGGCAGAAGATAAAGGTTCAATAAATGACAGCCACTATTTTGTTTTCAAATTAAAACTCAAAGTTCTCATAATTGGTAAAGCGTTTAGTAAAGCGTTTAGATTTCTCAATTTTAGTAAAAATTGAATATGATAGTATCTCCAGTTCCTTATATTTAACATTTTATATGTTACAGAGATATGAATCATGGTTGCAGTATATCTTATGAAGGTGTTGAGATGACATAGGTCTTCATATGAATGGTACAATTTCTAAATTCCCTTCCCCTAAAATTAATAAATATTACAAATGGCTTCATAAACCCTTCAAAACTATATTCCCAATAAATACTCTTCAGTGACATTACAATGGCAAATAAGAATGTAAATGAAATAAGGGAAGAACAATACCAGCGGTAGCAGTATTCTGGTCAGTGGAAAGGCTGACAGCTGAGTCCGCAGAAGGAAACACACTAGCTTTCTGACTTGAGTAATTTTCTGTTACAGAAAATTCAGGTTCTGAAGTCTCCTCTTTATCACTTTGATGTTCCTTATCCATATGAGTCAGGAAATGCACTAATCCAGAGCATATTTGATTTAAGAGAAAATAGGGGGAAAAAATCACGTGGAAAAGACATATCAATTAGCTGTACACTTCCTGATGCAACACAGATATATTAGAAGTCTGCAACATATTCTGATTGCTTTCTACTGTATAATGAATTAATTTAATATTAAAGTTAAAATTAAAACTCTCCAATAAAAAAAAAATTAAATTTACTATCAACCTCAGAAAAACATAGCAGATTGAAGTAAAATAGATAGGCTCACCCTCAGCAATAAAAACACAGAAATGCTAAATTAAAAAAAAAAAGTTAGGAAATACACACCCCAGCCCTCTAAATACAGAAATCAAGGTAGAGCAGTAAGAAGACAATGATGTAAGGTAGTACACAAAGTAACAAGAGATGTGATTTCTGAGACTGCAATGAGGAGGACTGAGCTACCTGCATATGGTCTAGAGCTCTGAAGGACAGCTCTGTCCATTAAATGGGGACAGAATAACCCTGCCCTGAAGAAGCAGGAAAGATGTTTTCCATCTGCCTAAACAATGGTTAGAAGAAAAATAAGTCAACTCTGGGCAACGAAAACCCCCTCTTGCCATGAGCAGGTGTGGTGTCTGGGTTTATACTATCTATTGTAGTACTTCAACTCAAGCCAAATAATTTACATAAAAACCTGTCCAACTTTTTTTTCTGCTTCAATGCTAGCAAGAAGCAATGCAAAAGCACTCGAGACAAGCATATACAATCTAGCCAAACCCTGCTAAAGATAAACCCATGATAAAAATTATAAATCACACAAAGAAACATCTACCAAAGAGTCAGTCTGCAGATTCAACAACTGAGAATTAAACATCAGCATATGAAATAAAACAATCTGAAAGGGTATATAATATGACTAAAATTATTAAATATATAAAAATAAGAATAGAAACCATAGTAAAATAACAGGGCAGTACATACAAAGAACAGATAGATTTGAAAAAGTAATAAATGGAACTTATAGAAATTAAAAACGCAGTCGCTGAAATGAGAATCCTAATGAATAGTGAAAAAATTCAAAGAAGACATACTAGAAAAGAAAATTAGTAAACTAGAAGACAGATCTGAGAAAATCATACTGACTATATCACTGAGAGATAAAGAGGCAGAAGTTCTGAAGGAGTGGTTAAAAGAGAGAAGGAATAGGGCAAGAAGGTGCAATATACCTCTAATAGGTGTTTTAGAAGAAAGAACAGAAAAAAGGCAGAATAGGCAATATTCCAAAAGATAATGAATGAAAAATTCCCAATGTTGAACCTTCAAATTGAAGAATCACTCCTCCTCCCATAATGAGTAAATAAAAAGAAATACATACCCAGACACACTGTATCAAAAAAGGAGTAAACCAACACTAAAGAGAAAATTTTATAACCAACCAGAGATACAGGAACAGCAATTAGACTGACAGAACAAAGGAAATATAAACTAGCCTTTAGATATATCAGTAGGTTAATGGATTAATATCTTTTAAATGCCGATGAAAATAACATCAACCTAAAATTCTGTATTCAGCTATAAACTATCATTCAACAGTTATGGAAAAATTAAAGCTGTTTTCAGAGACTGGAAGAATTTACCACTAACAGACTCTAAATGAAAGACAAACAAAGGGAGGAAAGAGGAAATGGAATCCCCAAAGAAGTGAATGCCAAGAAGCAACTGTCGGCAAAAAAACTGGCAAACATGTTGATAAATTCTAAATAAGCACTGACTTTATAAAAATAAAATACACGGAGATTAATTGGGGAGGAGGATTAAAAACAGGTAGATCTAAAACATTAGAAAACAATATAGTAAAAGATGGGAGAAACAGATCATTTTAAAATTCTAAACTCTTGATATTGTTTTGGATGTGGATACATCTGCCTTAAACTTTAACCCAGCTATGAATGTGGAAAACTCAAGAATAACTACTAAAAGATTAAAAATAGAATGTATCATTTCTGAACCCACAGGGAGAAGAGAATACAGAAAACCAAATAGAAGGCAAGAAAGAACACAAGGAAAAAAAAAAAAGGCATGGTAAATAACAAGCACCAAAATTATACAGAAATAGACTCAAATATTCAGTAATCACAATAAATGTAAACTGATTATTTTGATGGTTAAAAGACAGAGTGTCTATTTATTTAAAGGCATGAAATCTAATTATATGCTGGACACAACTACAACATGATCACACAGCTTGAAAGTGAAGAGATGTTCACATTACAAGAAACACAAAGGACAGAGGAGCATGTTAAATGACAACAAGAGACTCAATTAGAAAAATGCAATCTCTGAAAAACACTTCTGGACAAACATGCTGGTTTCTTCAATAAATAAGCATTTTGGGGGATGGGGAAGAGATGGCGGAGGAACCTAGAGGTTAAGAGAAACTCAAAAGACATGAATCAAATGCTGAGTATAGACCTTACTTGGATCCCAATTAGAACAAATAAACTGTATTTAAAAATGAGACAACTGGCAACATTTGAACAATGACTGAATATTTGATGAGATTAAGATTTTTTTTTAAAAAGAGTGACAATGGTATTGTGCCTGTGTTAAAAAAGAGAGACCATGTCTTTCAGAGATACAAATAAAAGATTTATGGGTAAAATAATGTGTTATCTGGGATTTGCTTTAAAATAATCCAGGAAAAGGTCAGAAGAACGGGTGGACGTATAGAAAAAATGAGATTGGCCATGAGTTGATAATAATTTAAGCTGGATGTTGGGTACACAGAGGTTAATTATACTATTCTGCCTTCTATTGATATGTGTTTAAATTTTTCCATTGTAAGGTTTTTAGAAGTAAAAAAAAAAAAGATATACCAAACAAAAAAGAGCAAGGGTAGTAATGTTAATATTAGACAAAATTGTTAAGTCAAAAAGCATTACTGGGCATAAAAAGGATCATTACTTAAAGCTAAAAGGGACAAAAATTTAACAACAAACATAGCAAGTCTAAATTATATTCATCTTACAACAGAACCTCAAATATATAAAGCAACATTTAACAAAATTACAGGGAGAAATAGACAATTCCACAATCGTGGACAATTTTTTAAACTACTATTTGTATAGTGGTAAAATACATGTAACATAAAATTTTCCATTTTAACCTTTTGAAAAGTGTACAATTTAGTGGCATTAATTAAATGTTGGGCGAGCATCGCACTATTTCCAAAACTTTTTCATCACCCCAAACAGAAACTCTGTACCCATTAGTCCTCTTGCCCAGCTGCCGGTAACCTCTAATTTACTTTCTGTCTGTATGAATTTGCCTATTCCAGGTATTTTGCGTAAGTGGAATCATACAATATTTGTCCTTTTGTGTCTGGCTTATTTCACTTAGCGTAATGTTTACAGTGTTCATCCATGTAGTATGTATCAGAACTTCATTCCTTTTTATGGATCAGTAATATTCCATTGCATGGCTATACTGCATTTTTATAAATTCATCCATCAGACACTTGGGTTGTTTCCATCTTTTGGTTATTGTGAATAGCGCTATGATGAACAATGACCTACAAGTATCTGCTTGAGTCCCTGTTTTCAATTCTTTTAGGTGTATTTGTAGGAGTAGAATTGCTGGGTCATATGATAATTCCGTATTTAACTTTCTGAGGAACCGCCAACTGTTTTCCACGCAGCTGCACCATTTTACATTCCTACCAGCAATGGATGAAGGTTTCAATTTCTCGACATTCTTGGCAACACTTGTTACTTTCTGTTTATTTATTTATTGTTAATAGCCATCCTGGTAGCTGTGAAGTGTTATCTCATTGTGGTTTTGATTTGCATTTCCCTAATGACTAATGAAAAGGAGCCCTGGGGGAGCAATAGTTACGTGCTGGCTGCTAACCGAAAGGTTGGCGGTTTGAACCCACATACCAGCTTCTCAGGAGACAGACCTGGCAATCTGCTCCCATAAAGATTATAGCCTAGAAAACCCTATGGGGCAGTTCTCAACTCTAACGGCACCCAACAACAAAAACAATGACTAATGATATTCATCTTTTCACGCGGTTATTGCAAAATAGGCTGTTGGAATTTTCATAGGGATTGCACTGAATGTGTAGATTGCTTTGGGTGGTATTGATATCTTAACAATATTAAGTCTCCAAATCCATGAACGCAAGGTGTATATCTACTTATTTAGGGCTTCTTTAATTTCTTTTTTTAAATAATTATTGTTGCAAAAATATACATATCACACATTTTCCAATTCAACATTTTTCTTTAATTTCTTTCAGCAATGTTGTATAATTTTGAGTGTCCAAGTTGTTTATTTCCTTGGTTAAATCTATTCCTACCTAGGTGTTTTATTCTTTTAGTGTTGTAAATAGAATTGCTTTTTAAATTTCCCTGTCACATTGCTTAGTACTGGCATACAAAAACACAACTGATTTTTGTGTGTTGATCTTGTACCCTGCAACTTGGCTGAATTTGTTTATTAGCTCTAGTAGCTTCTTGTGGATTCTTTGCGATTTTTTTTCTTTTTTAATTGTGCTTTAGATGAAACTTTACAGCTCAAGTTAATTTCTCATACACAAATTTATGCACATACTGTTTTGTGACATTAGTTGCAATCCCCACAATGTGACAGCACACTCCCCCTTTCCATCCCTGGTTCCTTGTGTCCATTTGACCAGTTCCTGTCCCTTCCTGCCTTCTCATCCTGCTTTTGGACGGGAGCTGCCCATTTGGTCTTGTATATCTGACTGAACTAAGCAGCACATTCCTCACATGTATTATTTTTTGTTTTATCGTCCTGTCTGATCTTTGTCTGAAGAGTGGGCTTTGGGAATGGTTTCAGTTCTGGGTTAACAGTGCATCCAGGGACACAGTTGTGGGGGCTCCTCCATTTCTGTCAGACCATTAAGGCTGGTCTTTTTATGTGAATTTGAGTTCTGTTCTACATTTTTCTCCTGCTCTGTCCGGGACTGGGATTTTTTTTATAAATAGGATCAAGTTATCTGTGAAGAGAGGTAGTCTTACTTCTTCATTTCCAATTTGGATGCCTTTTATTTCTTTTTCTTGCCTAACTGCTCTGGCTGGAACTTCCAGTACAATGTTGAATATCACTGGCAAAAACTGGCATCCTCGTCTTCTGGACTTTAAGGAGAAAGCTTTCAGTCTTTTCATCATTGAGACGATGTTAGCTGTGAGTTTTTTGTAACTTCCTTTACCATGTTGAGGAATTTCCCTTTTACCTAGTACTGAGTATTTTTATTATGAAAAGGTTTGGATTTTGCCACATGCCTTTTCTATATCAACTGGGATGATCATATGGGTTTACTCCTTCATTCTATTAATGTGGTGTATTTCACTGACTGATTTTCTAATGTTGAACCACCTTTGCACTCCCAGGATAGATCCCCTTAGTCATGGTGTATAATCCTTTCAATATGCTGTTGGATTTGGTTTGCTAGTATTTTGTTCAAGATTCTTGCATCTATATTCATAACGGATATTGGTCTGTAATTTTCTTTTTTTGCAATGTCTTTATTGGACTTCGGTATCAAGGTAATGCTGGCCTCACAGAATGAGTCAGAAAATGTTTCCTCCTCTTCTATTTTGTGGAAGAGTTTAAGAAGAATTGGTGTTAATTTTTCTTTAAATGATTGATAGAATTTATCAGTGATGCCATCTGTCCTGGGCTTTTCTTTGTTTGGACATTTCTGATTACTAATTCAATCTCTTCACTTGTTGTAGGTCTACTGAGATATTCTATTTCTTCTTGAGTCAGTTTATGTAATTTGTATGTTTCTAGGAATTTATCCATTTCATCTAGGTTATCTAATTTGTTGGCAATTTTTAATGCACACTTCTGATAAATGTATAGACCAAGCATATTAAAAATCAGAAAAAAATATTAAAAATCTGGACAATATACAAGCTTGACTAAAAATACACACACAAACTCTCTACATCCAACTAACATAAAGTGTTTATAAAACTCCTTTTAAATAATTTAAGTGTTAACAGATATACCTTAGTATAAATTACAAACTCTTTAGGCCTGAACACCACCAAAAGATGGTATGTGTCAACACTCTTGTTTGGGTCCTTCCAGGAACATTTTCAGCCTCAAATGCATATATTAGAAAATAAGAAAGAACGAAGTTAGCGAAAAAAACAAAGCCCCAAAAGTAAAAGAGATAATAGTCAAGCGTAGAAATTTATGAAAAAAGAAAAAGCAACAACAGAGAGAATCACAAACCAAAACCTGTTTTGTTTTTTTTGAAAAGACTAATTAAATTCCTGGCAAAACTGAATGAGTGAGAGAACCTAGATATAAACAACTACACCCAAAACCAAACAACTACAGACACAGTAAAAAGGGGCCCTGGTGGCGCAACGATAAGAGCTCGGCTGCTAACTGAAAAGTTGGCAGTTCAAACCCACCCAGCAGCTCCACGGGAGAAAGACCTGCCAATTTGCTCTTGTAAAGATTTGGAGCCCTGGTAGTGCAGTGGTTAAGAGCTATGGCTGCTAACCAAAAAGTCAGTAGTACAAATCCACCAGTCACTCCTTGGAAACCCTATAGGGCAGTTCTACTCTGCTTAGAAAATCCTATGGGACAGTTGTACTCTGTCACTTGGGGTTATTATGAGTCAGAATCTACTTGACCTCACTTAATAACAACAAATAGATGCAACAGAAATTAAAAACCTATTTACTCTATTTTTATTCTTTGATTAAGTGAGAAACTTAATATTTCATCATTGCTCAGCAGTTTAACCAGACCTTCAAATTCCAGCTCAGCTGATGACCATGTACAAACAGAAACCTTAGCACAAAGCTTTGTGCAGTCCTCAGCAGTGTGGGGCCAATAGCTCAGAGGTCACGGAAACTCAGATCTAGCCCACATTGCCCATTCTGGTATAAAAGCCAGTGGAGGTTATAGTATTGGCTTCTTAGAACAAAATGGCCTAGAGGTGGGAACCAATCACATGGATTACCACATAAATAATCTTAATACAAAAATTTGGAGCTGATGGCTTCAGCTTACATAGAAAAATCATTCCTAGTTTTGGCACTCCAAAAGGCAATGCTTACTCTTTCAAGACAACAAAAGCAAGGCTTTAGTCCTCCTTGCCCATACGCACATACCTTCTTCAGAAATGCTTATGGTTTTTGAAGCCAGTGGTTTATCAAATTCAGGGCCAGAGGATAATTCAATGTAATCCACTGGTTCAAGCTGTTGAAAAAACACATACAAGAAAACAACTATTATAAATTTTATACTTTGATATTTTCAAAATATAAACAATTTTATATAGGTTTGAAATATTTGCATTAACACAACAGATGAAAGAAGTAATGGGATTAAATCCAATATGAGCTAAAAGGTAGGAATTGAAAATGAGGAGGAAATTTTTACTGATTTGTAGCTTACCTGATTTAATCTTTTAAAAGGATAAGGCATTATTCACAACAGCCAAAAGGTGGAAACAACTCAAATGTCAACCAACAGACGAATCGATAAATAAAATGTGCTATAGCCATACAAAGTATTATTCTTCAACCATAAAGAGAAATGAAGTTCTGATACATGCTATGACACTGATGAACCTTGAATCATGGTAAGTGAAATAAGTCAGACACAAAAGAACAAATATTGTATGATTACACTTAAATGAAATATCGAGACTAGGCAAATGCATAGAGACCAAAGTAGATCAGTGGTTACCAGGGGTAAATGGGAGGGGAGAGGAAGGAGTTATTGCTTAAGGGGTACTAAGTTTCTGTTAAGGGTGATGAAAAAATCTGGAAATGAATAGTGGTGATGGTTGCACAACATGGTGAATATAATTAATGTCACTGAATTGTACATATAAAATGGTTAAAATGGCAAATGTCTTCTTATATATATTTACCACAATAACATTTTTTTAATGGGGGAAAAAACAGACAGAAACATAGAATCCTACAATTTTTAGAATGGAGAGGAACCTTAGCTACCATCTAGACAAAATATTTCATTTTAGAAATGAGGGAACAAGGCCCAGAGAAATTCAGTGACTTTCTTAGTATCAGAACATGGATTTGAAGCCAAGTCTTCAAGGCTCCTAGTCAGTGCTCAACCACAGTATCCCTGTGCCACCTCCTCTTCCAGGCCTATAAGTTGTTTTCTCAACTAAAATGAGCAAGTTAAAATCTTTGTGTTTATGTGTGTATTATAATAGGATGACAACATTTTAAACACATATGCAAAATCTAACATATTTATTATATGAATTTTTCTTGCTAAATTAAAAGGAAAAAAAAGGACAGGGTGTTCATACCAAAAAATTAATTAATTATTTATTATGAATACTTTATTTAAAGATACAGAAAACTTGTAAGGAACTGATTACTAGTCCCCTTACATAAAATATTTAAAAGAAACTGAAAAGAATTTCAAATATAATGATATTTGTAAAGTTACAAAAACTTTCAGAATAAAATGATACTCAATTACGAGCAGAGTTTGTTTAAAAGACACATCCTGGTTTTATAACTCATATATTTCTTTTCATGGTAGAAAGCATGGCTTCACTTCTCAAAAGCTTAAGGCAGTGTTCTCAACTAGTGCTGATGTTGCCCCCGAAGGAGACCTCTGGCACCGTCTGGAGACATTTTTGGTTTTTACAAGTAGGAGGCACTCCTGGCATCTAGTAAGGTTAAGGTCAGAGATACTGCTAAACATCCTACAATGCACAGCTCCACAACAAAGAATTATCTGGCCCAAAATGTCAACAGTGCTGAGATTGAGAACTTTGGCTTAAAGAAATCAAGTTTCTCATTATTTTGAAAAATCAAGTGTCTAAAATTATATCATTCTGCAAATCTGATAACTCAATTACAAACAAACAAACAAAGAGACTCTATCTTAGCAGAACACAGGCCTACCATTTTGTGCCTCGGGAAATCCTGCTCTACGTTTTCAGCAATGTTCTGTATTGCCAACAGCTGTTCATCAATCTCCCGAAGCTTAGACGTGAGGCGCTCTAGTCTGCGTGCTGCAGCACTAGGTGCAGGAGAAGCATCAGAGACCTCCTGCAGCAGTTTCCACAACAGGTAATCTTCTGCAGCTTCTGACTTTGTGCTCTGTTCTTGGAATTGGAACTCGGGCTCCGGCAGATCTAAATATGAATAAAAGTAAAATCGGAACTGATTATAATTAAGGAAGAGGTAGATACTGATGATGCCATTTTTTGATGATCTCATTTTAATCCAACATAACATTCTCTTCCAGCCATTTAATATATTTAGAAATTCCATTCCAGCCTCTTGACTTTTGAGATTTATCTTTGTTGTGAGATAAGAGTGCATAACACTGTTATTATTACCACTTACCTCCATATACAAGGTAGTTTGAATGTTACTTTTTCCCCGATACAAAAAAATTCACTTAATCAAAAAGCATCTTTAATATTTTTACGACTTTTTAGAACTATTTGGAAACCAACAACGTCACACAGTAAAAGCCAGGCCCGATGTTGGTTATTACTGACTTTATGTGAGATCTCAGGCTACTATGTCTGTGTATGAGTTGGAATTGACTCAATGGCACTGGGTTTGGGTTTTGATATTCCAGAATTGCCCACCTTTTAAAATATGAGAATTCCTTTTTAATATCAAAACATTCACGAACTCCCACAGGATATCTGAGTTTCCATTAATTGAGAAAAACACATGCATCAGTAATCGGTAGTCTTCTTGCAAAATATTCACAGGATCCATCTTTGGAAACATGGCTCTAACTCATTTACCTACCTGCCCCCACTCCTGGAGCAAGGAAAAGTATTTTTCTGATTTCTTTTGCAACTGCCAAGTTTTAGTGCTTATTTCTAATATAACAGTAATTCATGGAGATGGGGTTGTATTTATCTTGGCCATTCACCTTCATTCTGCTGTACTCCTGATGGTGTAGGTGAGATGATACTAGGCTCCTTCATTTCTGTAATGCCTGCTCTCCAGCTTTTTACATCCAGACAGGTTAGAGACACTTTTGCGGGTTTGAAAAATAAATCCATAGCAGAATTGGTAGATTCTATCAAGAATATGAAAGAAATATAGAGATTGATTCTAAACTTCTAAACAAAGTAATCCAAAGATTAATGCAGCATTTCTAAATGTGAATATAAACATCCAAAAGTGCAGAGGGTTTACAGGAGAGCAGCTAAGAGATCTCAGTTGGGATAACAATGCTATAGCTATATTAAAAACTTTTGCAAAATGCATTTAATTTACTTCAAAAGTAGAAAAAATATTACCTTGACTCTTAATATCATGTGGGGGAACAGCATTAGTAACTGAAGCTGCCATATGATGTAACTCTGCAGAAGATGGAACTTCTAGAACATCACTTTGCTGTTTGTTAACATTATCATCTAAAGGCTCATCTCTGGCAGGTAATTCCTGCAGAAGATCACCAGCTTCAATGTCAATCACATCTACGTAAGTGTGTCCAACCTGAGCCAAAACATATGAAATCAAAAAGTGTTATATTTTCACTCTATATGGCCACTCTGCAAAAAAAAAGGGGGGGGGGGTTAATTCTTATCAATAACAAGGCAAGAAGGGCTTTTATGTGCCAAATTTAGGGAAAGCTGCAGGAAGAATGTGTCATGGTCTTAGTTTATATTATTTTGGGGTATAATACTTAATTTTTTGAGCTACAAAACTACATAAATTAGATGTTTAGCCTCAGTTATCTATAGTAATGTCTGGATGACCATAAAAAATGTTGGCAGAAATGTATAATTAGAACTTCTGAATTAAATACAAACCAAATTTGCTTCAGTTGAAGGTGACAAAGGTTTCTCTGATATTTCAGTGGGAAACCTGAGATTTAGATATACATCTGGAACCAACACCTGAGGAACACTCAGAAGTTCATGTTCTGAAAATTGAGAAAAGAAAAATTAGGAATACATTGTCTGTATATGGCTCTAAATCATTAACTTTATATGGATAAGTTAGCAACAAACAACATAAAATGTATTTGCTGAAAATCTAAGTAGAAGTTTCATGGGTATAAATAAATTAAAACAAATTCTACTCTATTCCATTCTAAGGACAATTTACTCTCGAGTAATTCATAATTGAATGCAGACTGAGTAAGACTACTGCTTTTCCTATATGAATAATTTACAAAACAACAAAGTATCTAAATTATCTCAAGAAAATGGTACAATTTCCTATTTCCATTTCAGCTACATTAAGTCATGTTGTTTACTTTACTTACAAGAATATCAATAAAGACAAATTTTAAGAAATTAACCCATAACTAAAATTTTTCCACTTTCAACACTTTTTACTAACAGGATTTACTGAGATATAATTCACACCCTTTCAAAGAGTACAATTCAGTGGTTTTTGTATATTCACAGAGCCATAGCTAAATTTTACCCCTTAAAATGTTTTAACATCTAAATTTTACAAAAGTCATTTGCTTCTGATTCAAAAGTAAAATAAAATAAAATGTTATAGGAGGTCAGCAAACAGCTTAACTCTGTGCCTTTTGTCCTAGGATTCTAATTATATTCCTTGCATTTTGTTTTTAATAAAGCATTACTTTTAACTTTCATATGCAAAATATAACTCATTGTCATATTGAGTACTGGCAACTTGGTAACAAAGCTTGAGTTTAAACCACATGTTAACCAAAACATGAAAAAATTTTGGAGAGTGAAAATACTTATATTATCATTCTTTTTCCATTAAATCAATTCATTGGTTTTACTGTTTTCTAAATGGGGGGTGGTGGCTCCTGTTTTGGAATCATGCAGACATGATCTTTGATAAGTCATGCTGATCTCAGAAAAAAATAAAATCACACCTGATGTAGAAGAAATGATTTGATTTTTACCACATTCAGAAACAACTTCTTGAGAAGCAGCTTCCTTATCTTGTACTAAAATTAGGAGATTTGAGGCAAAAAAGAGAAAATAGAAAATGAAAAAGAAAATCACAAACACAAGAAAAATTTAAGCTCATGAGTGTAGATAATTAGATACGGTGCATAAAAGGTGGCAGAAACATATGACAGTTTAACCATTTAATTTTTAAATAACTAATATGATAAACTCAGACTGTACTATTGTTTACATTCTGGGCCTGATTACCTGGATGAATAACAGAATTAGAAGACAGCCCAACAGCAAAGGCAAAGGACCTCCAAAGGCTTTCTTAAAGACATGCTCAGAGAAAGGGCATGTAACAATGTTTCTCCAATGTACACTCATCAGTTACATCAAAAGACATCTTATATTATGCTTAAACTCCTTTAGAAAGAAATGCAATAAACAGTGAGATGCCATTTTTTAACCTATCATATTGGCAAAAATAAAAAAGTTAGCTTAATTATCGTGATGAAAAGAAAAGGTTCTTATGCAGGAAAATACTCAAGCATTATTTAAAGGAGAAAAAAAAAACTGTAACCTGCCTACTATGCTGAACATAAGGAATTAGTTAAATATCTTATAGCACAACTAGCAGAAGCAATATGCTTACAAAGCACATTTTCATGACACAGGCAAACATTTCTCATAAACAGAAGTCAAAATGTAAAGCAGAGGATACAAAATGTAAGTATTCCTTGTTATCCAAATCTAATCCACTCCTGAAAATGTGCTGGATAGTGAATTTTCACATACCAGGAGACTTTATTGCTATTTTAAGCAGAAAAAATACAGCTGTCCCAAACTATCAATTTTCCCAAATATCACTGACCTACTCTTGAACACCTAAATAACAACCCACCAAGGATTACTATATAATATAAAGCATTTTAAACATGATTTCTTAATTAACATTTATTTACTTCATTAGTTTGTATGCAATGTGCAATAATACTGAACTTATCAGATATGAATTACCTTCAATACTGCAGCAAACATGTACTATAATATAAATAAACCATGAAATATATTAAAGATATAATCTAATATGAAAGTGTCCCAACATACCCAGAAAAAAAAACAAACACTGGGGCGTATGAAGGGTGAAACTTTCAGAGACAACCTTGGGAAGATGGCAATAATATCTGGATGGTGAGAATTCAGATAGTGAGGGACACCTGCATGATTTATAATATCTAACTATGTAAAATGCACAAAAAGGAATGAAAGAAAAAAAAATTAAACATGGTATAATTATGATTATTTTTCATCTTCTTATGTTTTATGATCCAAATGTTCTATGATGATCACATTTTTTAAAAAATATACCAATATTATTTTAAAATACAGTATCATGAGAGGTTTTAAAAAACACTTATAAGCTTCCATACATAGTTAACAGAAACTGTTTACTAAATGTCATAAAAAGAATCACTAAGACACAGTGGGCAGAGCACTACTCAAGATGCTGCTAAATGTCCACAGGGAAAACTCCAAATAATAGATCCCCCAAAACTTATTTTCTCTTCTCTTGGACACAGTTACATACACTGAGCCCAGTCTGGTCCTCTTCCTAGCTAAGCTCAACTTTACTAGCCACAGTCCCAGGCCTCTCAGCCATAGGCTGTCAATTCCAGTGCTGGCAATTAATGGCAGAGAAAATCCAAATTCAAACATTATTTCCATTTGGCTTGAGGTGTATTCTATGGCATTTTTGAATTAAAAATCTCTACTCTGTTTTACTTATCATTAAACTTTATTTTAAATTTTAAATTTCTAAAGTATATAGTCATATCCTACACTTCACTTTACTGCATTTAGCAGATACTGCGTTTTTTACAAACTGAAGGTCTGTGGTAACCTTGAGTCGAACAAGCCTATCGGCGCCATTTTTCCAACAGCATGTGCTCACTTCATGTCTCTGTGTCACATTTTGGTAATTCTCACAATATTTCAAACATTTTCATTATTATTATATCTGTTATAGTGACCTGTGATCAGTGATCTTTGATGTAACTTTTGTAATTGTTTTTGGGTGCCACGAACTGCACCCACATAAGACAGCGGACTTAGTAAGTATCGTGTGTGTCCTGACTGCTCCACAGAATGGCTCTTCCCACATTTCTCTCCCTCTCCTCGGGCCTCCCTATTCCCTGAGACACAACAATATTGAAATTAGGCCAATTAACAACCCTACAATGGCCTCTAAGTGTTCAAGTGAAAGGAAAAGTCTCATGTCTCTCACTTAAATCAAAAGCTAGAAATGATCAAGCTTAGTGAGGAAGGCATGTCGAAAGCTGAGACAGGCCAAAGCTAACAGTTAGCCAAATAGTTAGCCATGTTGTGAAGGTAAAGGAAAAATTCTTGAAGGAAATTAAAAGTGCTACTCCAGTGAATACACAAATGATCAGAAAGCAAAACAGCCTTATTGCAGAAAGTTTCAGTGATCTGGACAGAAGATCAAACCAGCCACAGCCTAATCCAGAGCTAGGCCCTAACTCTCTGCAATTCTGTGAAGGCTGAGAGAGGTGAGGAAGCTGCAGAAGAAAAGTTTGAAGCTAGCAGAGGCTGGTTCATGAGGTTTAAGGAAAGCCATCTCCATAATATAAAAGTGCAAGGTGTAGCAGAAAGTGTTGATATAGAAGCTGCAACAAATTATCCAGAAGATCTAGCTAAGACAATTCATGAAGGCAGCTACACTAAACAACAGATTTTCGATACAGATTAAACAGCCTTATATTGGAAGAAGATGGACTTTCATAGCTAGGGAGGAGAAGTCAATGCCTGACTTCAAAGTTCAAAGGACAAGTTGACTCTCTTGTTAGGGGCTAATGCAGCCTGTGACTTTAAGTTGAAGCCAGTGCTAATTTACCATCCTGAAAATCCTAAGGCCCTTAAGAATTATGCTAAATCTACTCTAACTGTGCTCTGTAAGTGGAACAACAAAGCCTGGATGATAGCACATCTGTTTAAGATATGGTTTACTGAATATTTTAAGCCCACTGTTGAGACCTACTGCTCAGGAAAAAAAGATTCCTTTCAAAATACTACTACTCACTGACAATGCACTGTCACCCAAGAGCTCTGATGAAGATGTAAAATGAGATTAATTTTGTTTTCATGACTGCTAATACAACATCCATTCTGCAGCCCATGGATCAAGGAGTAATTTCAACATTCAAGTCTTATTATTTAAGAAATACATTTTGTAAGGCTATAGCTGCCATAGATAGTGATTCCTCTGACGGATCTGGCAAAGTAAGTTGAAAACTTTCTAAAAAGGATTCACCATTCCAGATGCCATTAAGACCATTCATGATTTATGGCAGGATGTCAAAATATCAATATTAACAGGAGTTTGGAAGAAGTTGATTCTAAGCCTCATGGATGACTTTGAGGGGCTCAAGACTTCAGTGGAGGACGTAACTGCAGATGTGGTGGAAATAGCAAGAGAACTAGAATTAGAAGTGGAGCCTTAAGATGTGACTGAATTGCTGCAATCTCATGATAAAACTTAAACAGATGAGGAGTTGCTTCTTATGGATAAACAAAGAAAGTGGTTTCTTGAGATGGAATCTACTCCTGGTGAAGATGCTGTGAACACTGTTGAAATGACAACAAAAGATTTAGAATATTACATAAACTTAGTTGATAAGGCAGCGGCAGGGTTTGAGAAGATTTACTCTGATTTTGGAAGAAGTTCTACTGTGGGTAAAATGCTATCAAATAGCATAGCATGCTACAGATAAATCTTTCTTGAAAGGAAGAGTTAATCAATGCAGTAAACTTCACTGCTGCCTTACTTTAAGAAATTTCCACAGCCACCCCAACCTTCAGCAACCACCACCCTGATCAGTTGGCAGCTACAGCATCAAGGCAAGACCCTCCACTAGCAAAGAGATGATAACTCGCTGAAGGGTCAGAAGATGGTTAGCATTTTTTAGCAAGAACGTATTTTTTTTAATTAAGGTATGTACGCTTTTATAGACATAACGCTACTACACACTTAACAGACTACAGTATAGTGTAAACGTAACTTTTATATGCACTGGAAAACCAAAAATTCGTGTGACTTGCTTTATTGTGATATTTGCTTTATTGCAGTGGTCTGGGACTGAATTCACAGTATCTCCAAGGTGTGCCTGTACCAGGATTGGGGACAAGAACCTGGGATGAGAAACTAATATCATATAATTTAAAATTCCCTTTAGACCACTGCCTTAAAGAAAAAAAGTTTATATATCTTAAATATTGCAAACTATTTTTTGATTAAACAAAAGCCGCCTTTTTACCTGGATCTGTATTTGTACTTGCATCCTGACTTTCTATAGCTTTCTTCCTTACAGAGGCCATGACATGCAATCCAGCTGAAGTAGTAATGTCATCTTGGAGCATTTCTTAAATATAAGAACAAAAACATTGGGAGATAATTGAGAAGCCAACATTACTACTGGAGCCCACGTGAGTCAATGAAAGTGAAGTATGAGGTGTTAGTGTGTCACCAAAACGGACTTTTTGAAGGAGGCGGTATTTAAGTTGCATTTCAAAGATAGTTCAGTGGAATTAAAACCAAAATTGTGGAGGACTCTGTAAGCCCAGTCTAGAAACCTAGATGTTCTTCTAGCTAATGAAGATCCATTGGAAGTTGTTAAGCAGGGAAATGACATGGTAAGATTAATGTTCTAGAAAAACCAGTCACTGTATAGACATAGATTTGAGTGGAAAAAACTGAAGTAAGACAATCCATGAGATAGGGCTGCTGTAGCAGTTCAATTAAGGACTTAGCAATGGTGAGGAATGGAGGAGAAAAGAAAAACTTAAAGAATTACAAAGGAGGTAAAACAGGCAAGAATTGGTTGTTAAGATGAGAAGGGAAAAGGGAGGGCACAATTCAGAATAACCTATGCTTTTGGGTTAGTTTGGTAGCAACACACACAGAGATAGAGAATGTAGGAGGACAAACTAGTTTGACAGGGAATAATGAGTCCACACTAACATGCTGTGCTTGAGGCAATTTCTACCCAAGTGGAAAAGTTCACTAGGAAGCAGAACCCAAGTTGAAAGTCTGTTATAAAGCTTATGTTATACAGCTTGGGTTTAGATGTGGATTTTCCTTGGAGATCACCCAGGGAGAGTAGGTACAATAAAAGGAGTATAAAGTATGGCACATTCTTTGGGATACTACATAATCCTTTAAAATGACATTGTAGCATTATCTGGAGATATGAGAAGATACCTAACTTAACACTGGTATGTAAAAATAAGTAGTTATAAATGGGTACAAGAGCTATTATTGAGAGACAGAGTAACAGGGGTAGGGATCTGCGGACCTTGCTTTCAGGGGATATCTAGGTCAACTGGCATAACAAAGCTTATTAGGAAAATGTTCTGCATCCTTCGGTTAGTGGCATCTGGGGCCTTAAAAGCTTGTAAGCAGCGATTTAAGATGCATCGATTGGTCCCAACTACATGGAATAAAGGAGAATGAAGAACACCAAAGACACAAGGAAAGTAGTAGCCCAAGAGACAGAAAGGGCCACAAAAACCAGAGACTTCATCAGCCTGAGACCAGAAGAACTAGATGGTGGCCGGCTACAACTAATGACTACCCTGACAGGGAACACAAGAGAGACTCCCTGAAGGAGCAGGAGAAAGGTGGGGTGCAGAACTCAAATTCTAGTAAGAAGACCAGACTTAATGGTCTAACTGAAACTGGAGGAGGCCTGGAAAGCATGGCCCCTGGATTCTCTATCAGCCCAGAACTAAAACAATTTCCGAGGCCAACTCTTCAGACACGGATTGGACTGGACTGTGGGACATAAAGTGATACTCGTGAGGAGTGTGCCTCTTAGCTCAAGTAGATACAAGAGACTAAAAACGGGCAGCTTCTGTCCAGATGTGAGATGGGAAGGCAGAGAGGGTTAGAAGCTGGTTGAATGGACATGGGGAATCAGGGGTGGAAAGGAAGAGTGTGCTGTCACAGTAAGGGGAGAACAACTAGGGTCACGTAACAATGTATGTATAAACTTTTGTATGGGAGACTAACTGGAAATGTAAACTTTCATTTAAACTCCAACAATAAAAAATTTAAAAAACTGTAAAAAAAAGAGCTATTATTTTATGAATATCCCTATACAGATATATCTGTATATGTATTTGCAGATATATCTGTGTAGGGATATTCATAAAATAAAGTCTTGAGGAATATTTACACTGGTTATTCTCCAGAAAGAATAATTACGGGAGATTTTAATTTTCTTCTTTTTCTCTATTTCTATTTTCTAAATCCTCTTCAACAACCATGTATTACCTCTACAAAGGGAAAAATGTTATTAAGAGTGAAAAGAAAGTGGTTTTAAAACAAATAAGTGGGAAAGAAGAATGCCAGATGGATTAGGAAGCTGAGAGGCTGAAGCCAAGCAATCAGGTAGGAGATGACTGCTTGGTTTAGGCACACAGAGACCTGATGCTGGCAGGGACACTGAAAAAGGAAGGGACCAGGTCGAGGACTTAGGTGCATGAAGGAGGGAATGGACGTGAGTGATAAGTCAAGGGTGATTTTCAAGGTAAAAAGTGGCAAATGTGGAGAATGGTAATATCACTAATAGGAAGATGCCAATTTAAAATCTGGACATGTTGAATTTAAAGTGAAAGTAGAACAGAAATATGAGAGAAAAAAAACAGTATGTGTACTTTTAATGTTATCAAAAAAATTTGAGAGCTGAGGTCATGAGAGTGAATGGCTCTACAAGTTCCAGAGTAAGTGAGTGTGAGAGTGTGTGTGTGAGAGAGAGACAATTATTGAGGGGAAAGCTTATGAAATGCATACATTCAGGGAATATAAAATAAATTGATCAAGAAAGAAAATAATTTCTTAGCTGTAAACAAGCTCACTTTTCTTAACTGATTCCTATATTGTTAATGTGCACACATTTTCTATGATAAATTTAACCCTAGGCTTGCTCTTCTATAATTCCCCTTTAGACCTTATGTATCAGTAGTGATTCTAATTGATTAAAATTCTCTATATATTGTAGAGGCCAGCAAACCTTTTCTGTAAAGGGACAGACAGTAAATATTTTAGGCTTTGTGGGCCATGTGGTCTCTGTCATAACTACACAACTCTGCTGCTGCAGTGTGAAAGCAGCCACAAACAATGTGTAAACAAATGGGCATGGCTGTGCTTCAATAAACTGTGATTTATAAAAACAAGCATAGGCTGAACCTGGCTTGGAGGCCATAGTTTGCCAACCACTGCTCTACTGGATAACACATCAGAACAAACATACACACCATCTTGTCAAAGATAACACAAAAATAACTTAGTCTCATTTTTATATCATACATATTTCTAGAAAGCTGATTTTAATTCAAACTTAAACATTACATTAATCATGTGTGTACATACCAAAAGGAATATCAAAGTCATCCAAAGGCTGGGAACCACAGTGTTCTTGCTGTTCCTAAATGAATCCCCAAATGATTAATCTATAATTAACTCAAAGACATTTATTATTTTAGAAAAGAAATACTCATATTCAATAAAAATATTTAATAGGCATGAAGATTTTTTACTACTTAAGCAAAAGTTCAGTTACTATAGTTCTAGAAAAAAGGAATTAAACTTCTATTATTTATTCTATCAAAGTAACTCAACAAAAGAGTTCACTAAATTCACAAGTCTAACAATAAAGAGCATTACCAATTTAATGCAAAGTTACTAGGTTACTATGTATAATTCTCACCTGCAGAGCAGTTTTGATACTAAAAAGAATACCCCATCCTATCAAAATCTTTCACTGACTCAACAAACATTTTTGCTAAGTGCCTACAGAAATGCTCTTGAGGAATTACTAAAAGAGTATGCTTTTGAAAATCCATATTAAAAAAAACTACAAATCTGTTGTTATAAAAATAGCTAAACAGACTATCACCAAATTTAGAAAGAATATTTGAAAAGACTTTAATTAAAATATAGGTTATAAGACAAACAAAATTCACTTTGGGAATTCCTGGAGGTACCTCAAAGGGATACGTGAAACTACAATAAAAGCCCAAATAGCAAATCATGTGTATAAGATGGGGGCATAAACAGAAAAAACAAAGAGTAATTTCAAACACAAAAAAGTCACAAAGGCAGATGCTTTAAACTGCAGTTGTTAATTTGTCATCAAGCTGCTGCTCACATTTGCAATTAAATGTCCACTACTCCATGGAGGGAAGCAGAAGGGTTTTATATATATATTTAATGATATAAACGATTCTTCTGATCAGAATCGGAAGCTTCCAGCAATCAGAAGCCTAGATCAACTCCAAAGACATACTGGATCAGGGAAGAGTCTCTAACAGTTTTACTATACCTTTGGTTTTATAACCACCTCTGAAGCATTATCATTAATGAGGGAATCCTTTGGTTGGAAAGTCACACTTGGTTTTTTCCTTAGTTTCTCTGAACTTTTTTCTTGCAGTTCTTTTTCAGCTCGTCTTCTTTGCCTGTTAAAAACAATAGCACAAAACAAACTTTTACTATTACAAATGTTAAGTTTTTCATTTGTATCATGCTATAGGGAGACGTTATCAAAATAAGATTAATATATTATTATAAACAGAATCTAATTAGAAAACTGTTCCTTTAGAATACAACCAAATAGAAATTTAAAAAAAAAAATCTAGAAAACATGAAATTTATTTCTAGCTACTCTACTTCTGAACTGACTATTCTGTGTTAGTCACAGGACCACCAATCAGGTCCTCACCTTTTAGGTGATTTTTAAACTTGTCTGCAAATTTTAAGCTGGTCCCAGAAACCCTACTGGATACCTTCATTTTCCTAGTTGAAAAAGTTAAACACACTTAGTCACCTCAACCAAATCCTATCAAGGTGGAAAGAGGTCCCAAAAACCTAAGGGGAAGACTTACTTTGAGGAGGGAATACCTGGAACAGATGAAAGAAGGAAACATTTCTGGAAAGAGAGCACTGATAGTGGAGTTTAGAGTCTGATAAATGTGAAATTTTTAAAGTATTTTCAAGACATAATAATAACCTACCAGTCAATACATGTACTGATGAGCAAATCAATTTTGTTCATTATGAACAAAATACTATAATAAGCATTCTACATCAGAAGTCAAAGCCTTGCTTTTTTCTCTCCTTTATCTTTTTATAATTTTATTTTTTGTTGTTGTCATTGTGAATATACACAGAACATAACACCAATTCAACAAACTACATGTACAATTCAGTGACATTAATTGCATTCTTCGAGTTGTACAACCATTCTTGCCCTCCTTTTCCAAATTGTTCCTCTCTCAGTAACATAAACTCATGCCCCCTAAGTTTCCTATCTAATCTTTCAAGTTGCTGTTGTCAATTTGATCTCATATAGATGGTTCTTAAAATACCACAATGCTCAAGCAGATATTTTTTACTAGTTAAGCTAAACTATTATTTGGTGTTAAGAAGACTTCAGGGGATATTTTTGGTTTAAGATTTAAAGACTATCTCAGGGCAAGTTTTACAAGTTCATCCAGCCTCAATGGCTCCAAGAAAATCTGGATTCCATGGGAATTTGAAATTCTGTTCTGCATTTTCTCCCTTTTGATCAGGATTCGTCTGTAGAATCTTTCATCAAAACATTCAGTAATGCTAGCCGGGTAGCATCCAGTTCTTCTGGTCTCATGGCAAAGACAGTCTTGCTTTTTATACATGCATTTCTTAGTGCTCTGAAATAATTTCCATCACTTAGCCTCATACTTAGTATGAGACTGGAGAATATGATAAAATGAATAATTATTTCAATCAACTGGATAATACATGGAATGATGCTTGAGATACTAAGTATTTGTGCTACAAAAGAAAGATTGTCATCCCATTATAGAAAAATGTAAAAGAATCTTCCAGCTTACAAATGGCAGGAAGTTATTCTCTAATAGAATGGAAAAAATAACAGTATTTGCCTCACAATATAGGAATTTTCCTCTTTACAAGATATGTTCAAATGCGTGACACTTGACAAGGAAATTGAATATGCAACTGTGTATAAGCTGGAAGGGTGAACAAGATGACTTATATCTTTATGAGTATATGATTATAACTAATAATGAACTGGCTGGTATGTGATATTCTCACATAAAATTTCACTTAAAACTTGCCTTTTTTTACTGTCCTTTTCTTGTCTTATTTCAGATGATTCTATTTTGACATTTAGAAGCGGAATTCGCCCAGGATCCACTTGTTCAAATAAGTTATGTGTTAGTTTCTGTTGGCTTTGTTTAAATGCAATGAGGTTTTCAAGCGGGATAAGCTGTGGTTTTTTATACTACAAGAAATAAACAAAGCATAATAATTAAAAACTACAAACCTGAATTACATACTATGTTAACAAAAAATTAAGAAAAAAATTTCCTTAAACTAAAATGGGCAAGAGATAGAAAAAATTGATTTAGACTGGCAATATGAGCATCCAGATCTTAAAAAATAAGTGATGTCACAGTCCTGAAATCTTCATCTGGGTCATCCCACTTCAGAAATTAAGCCCAAAGTCCTAGTATTAATTTCTCTCTCACATTACAAACCTTCCTTCTGAGATTACATTCAAGATGGTGACATAATCAGATGTACCACACCGTCCCTCTACAGCAAAGACTCAAGAAACAAAGTGTAACAGATACAGATGACAACCCTGGAACCCTGAGCATCAAATGAAAGGATACAGAATCAGATCAAACACTGACTGGAAAAACAAATTGAATGACAGCAGCCAACAGGGAGAAATATGGAGCAGAGGTAGCCTGAAAGGTTTGGAGTGGAGGTGTCCTACCAGCCAGTCTGGCACAGAGGGACATTTTGAGACAAAGCCAGCAGCAATCCTCGGGGAGGAATATAGGAAGACAACATCATGGAACTCCCTCCCAACAGGAGACAGAGAAACTGAAGACACACCCAGAGTGAAGCAAAGTGAGCAGGACATGAGTTAGAGCTAAAAAGGGAAAGTAGAGGAATCTCAGAGTACACAGAGAGGGAGGAAATCAGGACCCAGAGACAGGGTGACTCACCAGCAGCAGTACTTGACTGGTAGGGCAGGTGGTGAACATGGAGCAATAGATGAGCACCCCCCCCCTTTTTTTCTTTTTCTCTCTTCCCTCCCTGGCCAGCTGCCCCGCCCCTTCCCTGCTAAAAAGAGCACCTGTGCGACCCCCAGCCACCCGCCCTACCCCTCCCTAGCCAGAGAGAGTGCTCACTCTAATATATCAAAACAAAACAAAAATCATAAATGAATAAAACAACACCTTAATGCCTCGGAGACAGCAGACAAAATCAAATCATATATAAAAAAAAAAACATGAGATGGCTCAAACAAGCGACCAAAATAAAGGAGCAGAACATCTTCCTGAGGAAGACATGGTAATGGAACTCCCTGACAAGGAATTCAAAAGGCTTATACATAGGGTCCCCAAAGATATCAAGGAAAACACAGACAAAATCCTACAAGAATTCAGGGAAACAATACAGAACAAAATGACAAATTAAATAGACAATTGGAAATCATATGAAAACAGCAACTAGAAATCCAGAAGATTAACAATATCAGAAACAGATAACTCAATCAAAGGACATAAAAGTAGAACTGAAACAATGGAGGAAAGAATTAGCAAAATAAAGGAAAAATCCCTCGATACCAGTTTTTTTTGAGGAGCAGTCAGAAAAAAGAATGAAAAAAAATGAAGAAAGCCTAAGAGGTATGTGGGACATGTGAAGAGGAATGACTTATGTGCGATTGGAATCCCATAACAGGAGGAGACCAAAAATAGCAGTGAGAGACTTTCTGAAGATCTGCTGTCTCTCAGTCATCTAGTGCTGCTATAACAGAAATACCACAAGTGGATGGTTTTAACAAAGAGAAGTTTATTTCCTCACAGATAAAGTAGGCTAAAAGTCCAAATTCAGGGCATCAGCTCCAGGGGAAGCCTTTTTCTCTCTGTCGGCCTTCTTCTCTTCAGTGTTCCCCCAGACTAGGAGCTTCTCTGCACAGGGACCCCAGTCCAAAGGACACGCTCTGCTCCTGGCACTGCTTTCCTGGTGGTAGAGGTCCCCAATTCTCTGCTTGCTTCCCTTTCATCTCTTGAGAGATAAAAGGTGGTGCAGGCCACACCCCAGCAAAACTCCCTTTACACTGGATCAGGGATGTGACCTAGGTAAAGGTGGTGTTACAATCCCACCCTAATCCTCTTTAACATAAAATTACAATCACAAAATGGAGGCCAACCATACAATTCTGGGAATCATGGCCCATCCAAATTGATAAACACATTTTTTGGGGGACATAATTCAAACCATGACATGCTGGAAGACAACTTCCCCACTACCATGAAAGATGAGAAGATTCCATCTAAGAAGCTCAACGAACCCCGTACAAGATAAAGCTCAAAAAGAAATTTATCAAGACATATCATAATCAAACTTTCCAAGTCCAAGGATAGAGAATTCTAAGAGTAGCTTAGGAAAAACGAGATTCCAGTAACACTAAGCTCTGATTTCTCGGCAGAAACCATGCAGGCAAGAAGGCAATGGGATGACATATGTAAGACCCCAAAAGAAAATAACTTGTCAACCAAGAATGATGTACCCAGCAAAATCGTCTCTCAAATAGGATGACAAAATTAGGACATTCTCACACCAGAAGATAAGCTAAACAACTGGGATCTTCTAAAAATTAAATGATAAGCTAGATAACTGGGATCTTCTAAAAATTAAACACTTACGCTCATCAAAAGACATCATCAAAAGAGTAAAAAGAGAACCTACAGACTGGGAAAAATTTTTTGGCTGTAACAAATCTGACAAAGGACTAAGCTCTAAATCTACAGGAAAATCCAGCACCTCTACAACAAAAAGACAAATAAGCCAATTAAAAAATGGGCAAAGGGCATGACCAGACACTTCACCAAAGAAGACATTCAGGCAGCTAACAGATACATCAGGAAGTGCTTGTCATCACTAGCCATTAGAGAAATGCAAATCATAACTACAATGAGATACCATCTCACCCTGACATTGCTGGCACAAAACAAAACAAAACAAAACAAAAACAGGAAATAACAGATGTTGGAGAGGTTGTGGGGAGACTGGAACTCTTATGCACTGCTGGTAGGAATGTAAAATGGTACAACTATTTCAGAAAAGCTAGAAATAGAAATACTATATGATCAAGCAATCTCACTCCTAGAAATATATCCTAGAGAAATAAGAGCTGTCACACGAATAGACATACGCACACCCATGTTCACTGCAACATATTCACAACAGCAAAAAGATGGAAACAACCTAAGTGCCATCAACAGATGAATAGATAAACATACTATGGTAATAAACACACAATAGAATACTACGCAATGATGAACAATGATGACTCTGCGAAACATTTCACAACATGGATGAATCTGGAGGACATTATGCTGAGTGAAATAAGTCAATCACAAAAGGACAAATAATTAAACTTCAGGAAAAGGTTTACACACAGAAAGAAACAATCTTTGATGGTTACGAGAGAGGGAAGGGGTGTGGAGGGAAAAACACTAACTAGATAATAAATAAGTGGTAACTTTGGTGAAGGGTAAGACAGTACACAATACTCGGGAAGCCAGCATAACCTGACCAACGCAAAGTCACAGAAGCTTCATAGATACATCCAAACTCCCATACAGATCAAGTTACTGGGCTGAGGGCTGGTTTCGAAGGACATCTAGTTCAACTGGCATAACAGTTTATAAGGAAAATGTTCTACATCCTACATTGGTAAGTAGCATCTGCGATCTTAAAGGCTTGTGAACAGCCATCTAAGATACGTCTACTGGTCCCACCCCTTCTGGAGCAAGGGAGAACAAAGAAAACCAAAGACACAAGGGAAAGATTAGTCCAAAGGACTAATGGACCACAACTACCACAGCCTCCACCAGACTGAGTCCAGCACAACCAGATGGTGCCCAGCTACCACCACCATCTGTTCTGACAGGGATTACAACAGAGGATTCCAAACTGAGCTGGAGAAAATGTAGAACGCAATTCTAACTCACAAAAAAAGACAAGACTTACTGGTCTGATGGCAACTGGAGAATGCCCGAGAGTATGGTCCCCAGACACCCTTGTAACTCAGTACTGAAGTCACTGCTGAGGTTCACCCATCAGCCAAAGATTAGACTGGCCCACAAAACAAACAATCATACACGTAGCTCAACCATGTATATGAGACTAAACGGGCACTCGAGCCCACGGGCAAGGACGACAAGGCAGGAGAGGAGACGAAAGCTGGACAAATGGAAATGGGGAACCCAAGATCAAGAAGAGGAGAGTCTTGACACGTCGCGGGGTTAGCAACCAATGTCACAAAACAGTATGTATATTAATTGTTTGATAAGAAACTAATTTGTTCTGTAAACCTTCAGCTAAAGCACAACAATAAAAATAAAGAAAATAAGAAATTAGGACATTTTCAGATAAACAGAAATTAAGGGAACTTATAAAAACCAGATGATCCTTACAAGAAATACTAAAGGGATTCCTCTGGATAGACAACAACTTGAGAGTAAGTCACACAACTACATCACCAAGATGCCAACCCAGATAGAGAAATCTCAAAAGTAAAGTAAAGCTACAGAACTGAAAACAAGGACCACAGATGTCAATCTGTAAATGACAACAACTTCAAAACAAAAAGGGGGAATAAATGGTGTAGACACAGAACTTCCATATGAAGAGGAAGTCACAGTGATATCAAGAAATAACAGACTGTTTTAAACTTAGGAAGATAAAGGTAAACATCAGAGTAACCACAAAGAAAGTTAAAAACCTACTTACCAAAATAAAGAAGAAAACACAAAATTAAAAAGAAAGGAAATGAAAAGAAAATACCTAAACAAAAAGAACGTAACACAAAAAAATTAAGTGGAACAAAGAAAATGGCAACACCACAACAAACAGCATAACAAAACGACAACAGTAAATTCATACCTATCAATAACACACTGAATATAAATGGTTTAAATGCACCAGTCAAGAGACAGGGAGTGGCAGAATAGATTAAAAAAAACATGACCCATCAATATGTTGCCTACAACACACATCTTAGACACAAAGACATCAACAGGTTAAAAATCAAAGGATGGAAAAAAATATATCATGCGAACAGTAACCACAAAAGAGCAGGAGTATCAATATTAATCTCTGATAAAACAGACTTTAAATCAAAATCCATCATAAGAGACAAGGAGGGGCATCGTATAATAATTGAAAGGACAATCCACCAAGAAGAAATAACCATAA